CCTAGATATCTACTAGTTTAGAATGAGCATTAATAAGGTGATACTAGTGAAAGGACTGACACAGCACCTGGCTGTATGGTACTGTTGTGCTAATTGCTATTGTTATAAAATGTGGGGGTTTTTCATGCCTTAGGATTTTTTACTTTCAGAACACTTAAATATACTTTTTGTTAATTTACTAATTTGTCAATCATCTGGACATCTTGTGAGTTTAATCGTATTTTCTGTTGTCTTCTATTCATGATGGATTTAGTTCATTTTGTGTTTTGAATTTGGGGTGATAAGGATCTTTCATTAAGGCTTTACATACAAAAATTCTCTTTACCTCAAATAGATTTGCTTCTGTCAGTGTGTTAATGTTATGACACAAGGTGGGGCATGTATGCTTTTACAGTTGAGAGATCAGATGGAAGAAAAAGAATGTCCAGAGCTGGGAAGGTGGTTCAGTGGTAGAGCACTTGCCTTGCATGCATAAGGCCCTGGGTTCGATTCCTCAGCACCACATCAGCAAAAAGAAAAAAGCCGGAAGTGGCGCTGTGGCTCAAGTGGTAGAGTGCTAGCCTTGAGCTGAAGAGCTGAGGGACAGCACCCAGGCCCAGAATTCAGGCCCCACGACTGGACCCCCTCCAAAAAAAAAAAAAAGAATGTCCAGCAAGGGTGAAAACAGAAAGAAAGTCAAAGTATTACAGAAAATTATATGGAAGTCACATGCTACTAAGTGTTTGAGCAAGATGAGATCAAAGAAGTGTGGAGGTTTTAAATGACCAAGTGATTTCAAGTCAAGTCTTATGTAGATTGATGTCTAAATGAGATTTGGGGTTTTTTTGTTTTTGTTTTTCGTTGTGCTATGTCGTACTGGAGGTAATAGCCAATGTAATAGGACAAGAAAAATAAAAGGCAAAGGTTGTAAAGGAGAAGTAAAACTATGTTTACAGATAACATGATTGTGAATCACCAAATCCTAAGGAATTTTAATAAAATGCCATCAATGGGCATCAGCTACCTAGATAAAACAATTTTAAGATAGATAAAAAAGACTTCTGAAAAGTACACATAACACACTCCTGAAAGAAATTACAGAGACATGACAAAATTGGAAGGTTTGGTATTCTTGAAATATCAGTTGCTTTCAGAGTCATTGAGAGATTTCATTGAAGTCTCAGTCAAAAATCTCAGTGGGCACGTTTGCAAAAAATGCATTTAGAAATATGATATATTTATTTAGACTAGCCAAGACAGCTTTGAAGACCAAGCAATTCCACAGTTTACACAAGTATGCAAGCCAAGATGGCGTTGAAGAAGTGGGGTGATAGTATTCTACTGGAGGTTATAGCCAACTCAGTAAGGCCAAAAAATGTGGGGGGGGGGATGATAGTATTCTACTGGAGGTTATAGCCAACTCAGTAAGGCCAAAAAAATGTGGGGGGTGAGGGTTGAACTTGCAGCAGGAAGAAAAAAAAACATATTTGTAGACTTATACATGACTTTCAGGATTCACTGTCAAAAACATGGAACTGTGTATTCATGTAAGAAACTTGTTAGTACGCAGAATAGACCAATAGATATGAAAATCAGATGTTTTTGAGAAGGGTATTAATGTAATGTGATGTTCCCATTAAATGGTGCTGAAGCAAAAACTAAGATTTTTAAAAAAAAAATTATGAGCCCCTATCTCAGACAATGAATTTTAGCTCTGTGATACACTTAAATTAAAAAAATAAGCTAAAACTATAAAACTTTAGACTGAGAATATGCTCATGACTTTGAAGTAGGATGTAAAGTATTCTTGATGATAAAAGACTGATACATTTTGGGGGACTTCATGACTATCTTTAAAATTCAGTTCCTGAGAAGATAGTATTTTGTGATGAAGAAGAAAAGTCTGAAGTAAGACCTTGTATTCAGAAGCTATAAAGTTAAAAATTGCAACTTGGGATAACTCCCTTCCTCTTCTCCCTCCCCTTCCCCCAAAGGAAAAAAGAAAAGCAAGAACTTCCAAACTATAAAAAGGATTGTTTAAACCAAGTCAGCAAACTTGGAAACAGTTGCAACATAATTGCAGGAGGCAGAGTAACCCAGCATTCAAACATGGACCTATATCGTATCCCATCACAAAGGGAAATTGAGGCAGTTGGAGTCAGGTGCTCAAGGAGGCCTGAAAATGGGCAAAGGTGTGTAATTACAGAGGTACTTGAAATGGCAGAGGGAGAATTCAAGACAGATGTCATTGCAAGTAGGACTCATGCAACACCCTTGGCCTTGAAAATGGAAAAACCAAAGCTCAAGCAAAATCAGGGAAAATCAAACAAACTTTTATCTAGATTCTCCAGAGGAAGTTTTCAAACCCTATTAAAACCTCGATTTTTTCATCTACCACAACCCATTTTGGACTCCTGATATCTAGAAGGCAATGAATTTACATTTTTTAGAGCAACAGTTAAGTACTGTTTACGCTGTATATCAAGGAAAAAGACATAATTTTTAAATAGATAGTTCACAGACTTACACATAGGTGGTTTATAAGTATTTAAAATACTTAGCATCGCTCCAAATCAGAAAGATCCAATTTAAAGGAATACATTTGGTCTGTGGAATACAAAATCCTTCATAGATAGTATTTACCCATCGTTCTCAAAGATCCAAGATAAGAGTAACTCATGTGTTTTTGGTGGCAGTCTGAGTTGGAAAGATGCTTTAGAGGGAAATTCAACAGAACTTTTCAAATCAAAGCTTCTGTCTTTATGTACCCCACACACACACCTATCTTTAAAAAAAATAATAATAATGAGACTATCTTTCCAGATCACTTGTACAACTTTATTATAGTCCATACAAAGGAACCGCCCGAGGCTAATACATGAAGACCTACAGCAGATGCAAACTGGAAGGGAATTTGCAGTGGCCGTGTGTTTGCAGAGAGTGTTCTGCTGTAGGGTTCTAGGAAGAGCTGGAGCAACAGTGACTAGAGTCCATCATTTCTTCCCCATCCCCTCCACCTCCTACCCCCGCTGCCAGGCTGGTCTTCAGCATCCAAAGCTTACAGAACGGACTGCTTCTGCCAGGCTCTGTTGGCGTTCCAGGATCTGGTGGCCCAAATCTCCATCAGTAAATCATTTCTGAATTCTTTGTGCAGCTGCTGCCTGGACTGTCACATTGCCCGTCACAGACCCACACTCCCATAACCAGTCGTTCTTAGGCTTCATAGCTCTTCTAACAAAAGCTTCCCACTGAATCCAGTCAGTGGTTCTGACAGTGCTCAAACTGGCACTGACCATGGCAGCTGCCACCATCACCCAAGATGTGTGGGGTGTGGCCGCAGAAATTGTTCTTCATAGCACCCCTCTCCCTTCTTATGCAGCTGTTTGCCTAGAGTGTTGTCACGAACATTGAGATAACCACCCTTCAGTGGCTAGGCTGAGCCACGTTTCCAGGATTCTCTTCCTTGTATGTTACAGACTATGATAGGCCCCAAGACAAATTCTTAGGAACATTTGGAGAGCAAATGTGAACCAGCTGTCACTGACAACACACACAAGCGGGCACATGCCATCATGAGGCCCTGAGTGCTGGCTCACCCTATCGGCATGAGCAGCAGCTGGGCCTCCCTCCCTTCCCAGGGTCCTCTACGGCCTCTCAAGCTCGTGGGGGCTTCACGTGGGTATACATGCAGCCCTGCCTGTGGTGACTGGCCTCTCAGCCTCCATGGCAGAGGTGACAAACTGACATGGGTTTCTGTCTTCATGGACTCCAGTACATGCTGTAGTTCTTGCTCTCTCTCTGTCTTCCTCGGGCTCTGGCTGCCCTATGGAGCTCTAGCTTCAATGTCAGGACAAAGATAATAGTCCTAGACTGTTTAACTGGCTCCCACACTTACATAATGTCAAATTCCTGTCGTGTGCACACATACATTTTATAGGTCATCTCCTAGCTCTGCCTTTCACACCTGTCCCCTCACAACCCCCTCATACGTACAAGCCACTATTTTTGTCATTCATAGTGTGGGCTGAGTTTCTGATGATCAGTAGAACTTGGGGCATCTAGACTTCCATAGCTCTGAAAATGCAAGGTCAATGCAAAACCTCACTTCTCTTCAGCAACAGAATACACCGTGGCACTGCAAGGAGAAAGCAGTTCAACCCAAGAGGAGGCAGAAGAAAGACGAAGAACAAGGACAAGAAAATGAGTAGACAATAGGTCCTCCATGGAGAACAGAGGCTGGGACTCCTGCGGAGTTCCCAGAGATCATGGTGTCACTGGGCCTCCCAAAACACATTGGTGCTTTCGCTGCATGTACAGATAGACCGCCCACACTCTGAGCAGGCAGCCAGAGTCTGGAAGTACATTCCCCATCTTCCTGGCAGCCTCAGGCGTCAGTGACTCAAAGTATTACTCAGAATGTAAAAAAAAAATATTGCAAGGAATATTGATTCATCCCCCAGACAACCTACAAGTGGCTCTCAGTCCCTGAGTATTCAAGATAGGGTTTTTGTTGTTTTGTTGTTAGCTTTGTTTTTGTTTTGTGTATGGTACTGGGAATCGAACTCATAGCCAGGCCCTGACCACACACACACACACACACACACACAGAGGAATATAGGACACTAAAATATGTAATATAATACAATTTTATCTTCAATTTTACTGTGATACAAAATAAAACCAGAAATTCTGGGTACATAAAGGTTATATAAAAGAAAGGGGTTTCAGGCATAAAGATGTCTAAGGAAAGATAATTATTTTAATAGTTGCCCTCAGTGGGGCTTGGGGGAAGACATGAGGAGGTAAAGCTATCCCAAATTTTTAGCTATTAGATAAATCCCAAGGACTGTAGCACAGCAGGATTTAAAGTCCCTTCTCCAGACTTGCCTCCATTCTGCTAAAAACTGAATAAACGTGATTGCTGCTAAATACTTTTTTGACCAGTGCTCTCACAGCTGTGTGAGCCTGACCCAAACTAAGATGCCAACTTCCTCAGCCTCTCTGTGTCTTTGTCTCCACAGTGCCAATCTGTCCAAGGCCGCCTGGGGAGCTCTGGAGAAGAACGGCGCCCAGCTGATGATTCGCTCCTACGAGCTCGGTGTCCTTTTCCTCCCTGCAGCCTTTGTGAGTTCACACTCATTTCCGGGTGCCACGTGTGAAATGAATTGGACTCTTGGGTTCTCTTCCCTTAGTCTCAGTGAGATCAGCAAGTAGCAGGTTTGATGTCTAACGCAGAACTGGGCTTTGTTTCTTTCGGATTTATTTATGTGTAATTATCTGTAAGTGGTTCTGCAGTGGAGTTTCACTTCAACATGTCCGTTTGTGAGCACAGTGAATCCAGATCAATGTCCCCCTTTCATCTTTCTCCCCTATCTCTCTTTACCACCGAGTCTGTGTTGATGAACTTCTTATAATCTTGTCTGGGTGTGGCAAGATGCCTACTTAGAGGTTGAGAAGCGACACTTGTGACAACATGATGTAAGAGTCCCAAAAAATGGTCCAGCCAAGCACAAGATGTTTAGTTAGTGGCCAAAGGCAGTTGGGAGGCGGGAGGGCTTGGCAGGGGATTGCTAAAAGATATTGGATTAGGGTACAGGGAGAAGAGAGGGAAGAGCATTGCACTGGGAAAAGAATTGTCAGGAGTGAAGCTGGAAAGTAGAGAAGCATCGGACAAGGTCGCACATGCCCAGGAAGGCAGCGTGTTGGAAGTACAGCCAGTCTGTCAGCCAGCTTAGAGGTTCACAGTTCTACAACCAGACATCAAGGTGTCTTGCTTGCACACAGGAATCAGGTTGTCCGAGCTATGTGTCTCATTAAACATTAGAATTAGAGATCCCTTCCCTGCGCTCCCCTGTACCTTTTCAACACGCTGGGTGCAAGCTTGTCTGTGGAATGCAGTCTGAACTGCCCACACAGTGAATGGTTAACACTCGCCCCACTTTTCCTTTTGTATCCCTGGCTGTCCTCTCTGGGGCCAGCTCTGAGACCCGAGTATCTCACTGGCCCTTCAGAATCTTTCACCTTTATCACAGCTCCTGGGAGACAGTAAATTCCAGTGTAAGAATAGCAGTGTTCAGTAACTGGCTGTAGTTACAGCAGCTGGAGCTTTAACCTAGACTGAATTATATCTATGAGTCACAACACACATAACGGAATGCATCCCATGCACTCGTTTGGCATTTGTTGTCAGTATGTGCAAAATTCTCTTCACTCATAACTGCTCCTACCTCATTTCCAGTTATGCTCATGGTATAAGGAAAGAAATATTATTGCCCTTCTATGCCCTCTAGGCCCTTCTTACCTATGGGAACTAATTTTTAATTGCAGATAATTTCCCCCTTTATATTAGGAAAGGCAATAGAGAAGAAAAGTGATCTCATGCTGGGCACAGGGTCCTTTTGGGAAAAGGAAAGACCACAGTAAAATAGAGGTTGTACAGTTTATAAAGCCCATCAAATGATAATATAGAGAGCATGGACTACCTTCTGTGCTGTGCCAAGAGGCCCAAGAGCTAGGCCGGGAAGTTAATATTGACTAACAGTCCCACTTGAGATGATGAGTATATCTTTTTAAGTCTTCAATTAATAGATGTATCTAAAGCATTACAGGCCTGGCCCAGGAAGGACATTCATTGATTTTCTATTCTGTGTCTAGAAAGCTAAAGAGTGAGAGATTAAAAAGAACGAGAAGAAATGGATGCAATAGGGAAAGAGAAAGATAAACAGTTAGGAGAACATTGTTATATTCCAATCAGCTAACTATAAGAGAAATTCCTTGTGTCGTTTCAGTGAATGGACTGTTCTCACCCATGCCTGTATGTATCAAATAAAATATATAAATTTGTGGTTTAGAAGAAATATACTATGAAGGGACCATTCTCCAACAGTCTGGGCCTTTCTTGACCTACAGAACCTAGCCTTTGGTTTTACAGTGGCCTCCTCTATACCACTGGTCAGCACCCATGAGACCACTGCCTAGACCCCAGCCATTTTCCCATTGCCTGGGTTGTCTGTGTCCTCCAGCGAATCACAAATGACTATGCACAGTGCTGAAAGTCCCACCTAGGAGCTAATGATCATAAAAGTCAGATATGATCATTAAGACAAGCATTCAGAATGTGAGTTGAGGGCTAAGACATGAAGGAGATGTGAGCCTGAATAAGCAGAGGCTAGAGGCTAAGAGAAGCCTTTAAATGTGTTTTACAAAACAAGCACACAAAAGGAGAGAATTTAGAAAAGATGTTGGAGAAATTCATGAAATCAACAGAATTGGTGAGGCTAGATGTGCATGGCTTACACCTATAATCCTAACTACTCAGGAGGCTGAGATCTCAAAATTGAAGTTTGAAGCCAGTCCTGAAGGAAAGTCCATGTGATGCTTACCTCCATTTTAACACCAAAAAGCCAGAAGTGGAACTGTGGCTCAAGTGGTAGAGTTCTAACCTTGAACAAAAAGGTCAGAGACAGTGCCCAGGTCCTGAACTCAAGGAAGAACCAAGGAACCAACAAAGGGATTATTGGGAGCTGATCTAGGGAGGGCAGGGCCAGGCCAGCTCCTGGAACCTGAGTAGTAGACAGACCTCTCTCTCTGATGTCTCCCTAGGATGTCTGATGACATCCCTAAGAGACCAGCTGCTCTGCACTTCATTTCAGTGACTTCTCGGGCTGAGGTCTGCCTTCCATGCCTCTGGGCCCTCCAGTTCATCTCTGCCTAAGCGCTCCTGTCTCCAGAGAAGGGAGGGTTAGAGGAGCTCAACAGCCACCCTGAAAATAGTGATGAAGAGTAAGCCAGGATCCTCATTCTCCTGAAAGACGGGGCCAAATGGAGGGAACAGGCACATGTTCCTCAGTGTGTGATGAGAACGGAAGCATGCATCTTCTGGGGAAATTGAGAAGGCTCTGCACAGAGATGATCTTTGACCTGGCTCTGGAGAGATGAGCACATGCTCAAGTCCACCGTTGGGTGAAGAGGCCTCCAGACAGACATAGCCATAGCCAGGCCAGTTTGTGCAAGAAGGAAGAAACAGTTCCCTCTGTCTGGAACAGGGAGGAAGTGGGCACAGGCCAGAAGAGATTGAAATCCTGATCTAAAGATTGGGCAGCAGCACTGGGGCTGAACTGTGCTCTACTTGGATAGTCAAAAGCCAGGTTTCTAAGGACAATTTGCAGAGAATTTCAACCTTTTAAATTATAACTAATGAGTATGACTTACTGTCAGGTACTTGAGCATGTAGAACCTTGCCAGTATCATCAAAATCATTAATCATTTAAAGCCATACTAGCCAAACAGTCTGATTACTCATGAATTACTATTGTCATTCATCTGGCTATCCTTTTTGAAGTGTATCAGCCTTGACAACTCTTTTGTGTGTGTGTGTGTTTGTATATGCTGATACTGGGGCTTGAACTCAGGATCTGGGCATTGTCCCTTAGCTTTTTCACTCAAGGCTGATGCTTTTCGACTTAAGCCACATCTCCACTTTCCGTCTGTTGCTGGTTCATTGGAGATAAAAGAGTCTCGTAGACTTTTTCTGCCTGGGCTGGCTTCAAACTACAATCCTCAGGTCTCAGCCTCCTGAGTAGCTAAGATTACAGGTGTGTCTAGTCTTCTACCTCTGCAAACCTTGCACACAGCCATTAGGGATTCCTGGACTGATAGCCAGTACTTGGAGATGAGGGAGCCCTTGGCTTGGGGAGGAGAGAGCTTCCTGGGCCTCTCCTGTAGTGGTGGGCTCCCTCTTGTCTGTGGTCAGAATCAAAAATGTTTCAATCAGATCTCCAAATGTCAAAGCTCTACAAGACTTCAATCTTCAAGTCTGTACTTTTTCTCTTCCCTGTTTGGTCTCTTTCTTATTATGAAAGATGGTATATGCTGGCTTCTTAGGCCAGTGACTCTGGCTGGAAGAACTAATAACCATGTGCAACAGCCACAGCGGAGAACCTCCAGAGAAAGGTCCTCTCCACACACCACCTCCACCCTCCTGCCTGCCTTCCCCCAGGCCCATTGGTTGGCCTCCCATCATTTCCAAGGAGGCCACATCTGGGCAGCAGTGTTTGTCACTACATTTCTTAATAGCCTGTTACATTATCCCACCAAGCGGCTAAGGACCATCCTCCCACTGCTCCACATCTGGTTGCCACATCCTACCCCTGCTTCCCTGTGTAGAATTTCATGGTCTCTCTCTCTGGACTCGCTGGCCCATCCTTCCCCTTTTCCTCATCACAAGGGCCTTGTTTCTAGCCACGTGTCCTGCACTGTAGTCCACTGCCCCTCTCTCTCCAGTGGTTTCCTTAGCCCACAAGCTAACATTCACATTCCTTTGGTGACATTAGGGTCACTAAGAGCTGGAACAGCATGCCTTCTGCTTTCCCTTCCACCCTGCCTGTCTCCCATACTGCTGGACATTTTGATGAGTGTAGGCCATGGTCCACCAGCCCCTTGGAAATCGTGTGGTCTTAGGCTACTGTTCTTGGCCTTAGCTAGAGACTGAGGAACTTGGAAAGAGACAGAACATGAGAGCACACATTGGAAACAACCCAAGATTCAAAGGAAGGAACCCTGCAGGACAACTGGAAGATGCAAAGCCCTCAGGTCCGTCGGAGCCAGAATGACAGAGGAAACTGTTCAAGAGGGATCTGTGTTCAGAATGGATCAGTGTTCCGCAGAGGCTGCAGCTGATGGGGGCAGCACCTAAACCATGAGGTCCAACCAGGTTAAATGTATAGGCAGAGGCTGATCCTCCATGCTTTCTGTCGCATCGGGGTGTGCGTGTGTGTGTTCCTGTGTGTGTGTGTGTGTGTGTGTGTGTGTGTGTGTGTTCCTGTGTACCTGTCCTGGGGCTTGAATTCAGCTGGGTGCTGTCCCTGAGCTTTTGTGTTCAGAGCTAGCACTCTACCACTTGAGTCACAGCTCCACTTCTGGCTTTGGGGTGGTTCATTGAAGATGACGCTCAGGTTTGTCTGCCTAGGCTGGCTTCAAACCTTGATCCTCAGATCTTAGCCTCCTGAGAAGCGAGGATTACAGGCTTGAGCCACCAGCACCTGGCTCAGATTATAGTCTGGATGTCACTTCCCTGCTGCTGTTCACTGTGCCTTCCTCCTGGATGGTGCTCATATGCACTGCCCAGTGTGAGCCTGCGTGGCATGCCCTCCTCCATGAACTTTTCCTAAATCCTAGTTGAAAACCTACAATGGAGGTTTTGTCCTTCCTGACAGTCATGCCTGTCTGTAATTTCCTTTCCGTGGCTCCTTCAGTCAAGTGTGTTCCTTCTGGGGAGCTTGGCTGTTGTCACTATTTTAGCTCAGGAACCCTACTTCCTCACTTGGGGCTGTACCAGTGAGATGGCTTCTCAGACATGTGTCTCTAGCAAGTCGTCTACATCCGTGACGGATCAGAGCATGCCTCGTGCGCTTTTAGTGATGGAGCTGAGAGATAATGAATGCTTTGGCTCCCAAGCTGAGCAGGGGAAAGCCAGCAATTTCTCCTGGGTGATACGTGTCCACCCTCTCACCTGGTGTTTTATAAATGTATTGTCTCCAGTGTCTTTTAAGTAGCAGTGCTAGGAGGGTGCCTTCCTCTGTTTAGTGAAATGCCAAACCATACCACTGTGATATATAAATAATGATAATTAGGAGACAGCCTCAAATGATTTGACATTCAGATTGAAGGGAAAAGTGGTACTTTTTTTAATACCCTAGAATTTAGATCAGAAATTATATTCAGGGGATAAAAAAGCGCATTGGATCCTTTCAGATATCAGTGGTTCAAGCCTTCTCGTGTCACACGTCAGGGTGTCAGGTCTGGACTATCAAGAATCTTCTGTGACTGAGATGCAGTTGACAATAGCAATGAAGCTAGGAGCTAAAGAAGAGTAGGTGACTGCTCCATAGAAATAGTCATCGTGGGTATCAATACCCCTTCCCAGCCTCTAGCCACTTCTGTACCAGGGATTGCAGAGTTCTGACTCACCCCAGCTTGTCCCATCTTCATGTTGCCTCTGACATTTACAGTTTCTTTCATGGCCCTGGTTCCTGGTGGTGAATGTGAGACTATTTGTTTGTTTAGTGGAAAGAGCATAGAAACAAGACCTGGGAAGACACAGTTCTATCACTGGCTTTGCTGCTTTCTATGCTGTGTGGCCCTGGGCCTCTATCAAACCTCCATGTTTGTTTCTTCTATAAAGCAGGAGCTACATCACAGATCACCCCTTGAATATGCTCACAGTTATGCTAGTTTGCTTCCTGGAATCCTTACATATAGCAGTCATTTTTCTGAATAAACAAATGCATCTTCCCATGAGCCCTGTGCATTAGACTCTGTGGTTATCTTCATTTAATAGATGAGGAAAAGAAAGCCCAGAGAGTTTAAGTAACTTGGCTCACTAGCAAGTAAATGATGTACAAAAGCAAGAGATAAGAGTTGCCTTGTGTCAATCCAGCATGCGTTGGGGTAGGATGTGAAGAATGCAGACTGCTCAGGAGGAAGAGAAGGCCAGGCAGCCCCCACGGAGTGTGGGAGGTGTAGGGAAGAGGTCCTGTTTCCTATCAAAGGCCCCAGAATTCTCAGTCTCCAACTCCTGTTCTCTGCCTGACCCTCACATGCCTCTGTTTATTTCTTTCAGTCAGTCACTTTCAAATCTATGTCTTTTAATTTGCATCAGCATCACTACCATCCAGCATCACCTCACTTTGTAACTAATCTTGTATAATTCTAAGACTTAGACTTACATTCTGTCACACTTGGTTCCCTGTCTCAACTACAGTCTGCCTTGCTAGAGAGGTGAGTCTTCCAAAGCCTTCTGCAGCTCCTCACTGGGTGTTGACTCAAGGTCAGAGTTTGTTAGGTTTAGCAAATTGGCCACTGCGAGGGGTTAGTGAGGCAGAAATTACAGGGTTGCAAGAAATAGGTGTGATCACCATGGGTGCCGGGGGCTCTTTTCTTTTATTCAGCTTCAGAAATGATAAGAATGAAAGCATGAATGAATAAAGGCATGGATGCTACTATCAGCTGTTTACCAAGCTTAGTAATTTCTAGTATGGCAGAGCAATGGCTAGAAGTCAGATTGTCTGAAGTCAGGGACAGTAAGTTCCTGTGTGTGCTCCTGCATGGTGCCTATGATCAACCTGCCCTCTCCGAGTTACATCATCCTAGGGACTTAAGAACTCCTGTTCTTTTTGTGGCTCCCAGCATTGTAGGGTGTGAAGGTATTATGGTCCTCTGGGCCAATCTGTGTTTGAGTGGGTATACAGACATGATGGGAGACAATGGGACAGACCAACAAGCAGAGCGCCAGGATGACCCAGAAGGGCCCAGAAAGATGCCCAAGTTGGGGCTTGGGAGAGGGGACAGCTCTGACAGGGTTAGCGCCTGCACTGCACATGCCTGATAAGAGACGGAGGGAAGTGTGCACACATTGGCCGAGATGGAGACCTCCCTCCCTCCCCCACCTCCCCAGACTCATACCTAAGATTAAAACCTTGTTCTGGAGTTCTTGGAATAAACCTTCCATTTTGGTCGGTCTGAAAGAATTTTCATTTTTAGAGTCCTACCACATTATATTGGAACACTTTTATTATACATGAAAGCAACTTTTACTTCTTACTCCAGAGCAAGCAGTCGGTTACTATAGCAATATCCAAAGTATTTGGAGGTATTTTTATTCGGTGAGTCCTACAGACTCGCTGCCAACTGTACACAGCTTTCAGTAGAAATGGCTTATCATATCCAACATTGTTTCTCTGTTGCCTTTGTTAAACTCTTGCAAACTTTTATATAAACCTCTCACATTTTTAGGAAAGAAAGTGATTTTGAGGGTTTTGCCTGTGGAACATTGAAAATAGCTCTGAAGTCATTCGACTTTGTAGGGGTCATAAAAACACGATTGCTTCTTGGGATCTTCTGGGGATTGTTTGTTTGGTGTCAGGAAATGGTGTTCAATCATAGGCCCCTCTCTGTGTGTCTTCAGGGCCTGGACAGCTTCAAAGTAAAGGAGAAATTCTTCTCTGGAAGCCGGGAGCCAACGCCTCCCTTTCCTGTACCATATGACCTGCCCCCGGAACTGTATGGGAGTAAAGGTGAGATGGGGAGAGGGGACAAGGGCGGTTGTGCCCCAGTGCAACAAATAGTGGGAGACCACTGGAGGCTCAGGTTTCTAGTGGCCTCTTTGCCACTGTATCTGGGATCACAGAAACCCCTTGGCAATTTTAGACTTATTGAGAATCCCAAGGAGCTTATATTTGGAAGAATTCTTGATGTTTACTCTGATAGAGGGTTCTTTTTACTTTGTGCTAGTACTGGAGCTTGAATGCTGAACCTTGAACGCTTGTCTGCTCAAGGCTCCATGCTCTACCACTTAAGCCACAGCTCCACTTCCAGTTTTTTGCTGGTTAATTGGCAGAGTCTCTTGGCTTGGTCTGCCTGGGCAGGCTCCAAATCACTACCCTCAGATCTTAGCCTTCCGAGTAACTAGAATTACAAGCTTGAGCTCCTGGCACCCAAATACATTAGAAATTAAAACTAAGAAACATTTAGATGTTTATTGCCTTTTTTTAATCCATTATAACATTCTATGAACCATTCCCAAAATTAAAAACTGGAAAAAGCCAGGGAAGTGGCATTATTTAGTGCTTCCCCATGCCTCTTGACCACACCGTCACAGCAACCCGCTGGCCTGCCACAGCTGCTCCCACTCAGCCCCCGATGACGTCACATCACATCGCCTGACCTCTGCTCCCTGAACAGACATGCACATGAAAACAACAGCATGATGCGTCCTCTCATCTTGAAATAGTTTTTTGACTCACAGACAGCCCCTCCAAGGGACGTTGGACTGTGACTTTGCTAGGGGCAGTGACCAAGTATGTTTCTAGATAAAATAGTCCAGTGGAATATCATGGCAGGTGTCCTCAGAGCCAGGCTTTGTGGCTTTGACATGGGTCCAGGAAGTAGAGCTGTACCTGAAATAGAGCACCCGCCTTGAGCAAAAGAAACTACGTAATAATCCAAAACCCAGGAGAACTGGCACAAGAGAGAGAACAAAAAAGAGAGAGGGACTCTGAACCTACAGATATTATAATAGCTACAGCATAATATGCATACATGCTAAATCTGAACAGAGGATGTTCTTTTCTTTCTTCCTTTTTATTTTTTTGCCAGTACTGGGGCTTGACCTTGAGGACTAAGCGCTGTTCCTGAGCTCTTTTGTTCAAGAAAAGCACTCTACCACTTGAGCCACAGCTCCATTTTCACCTTTTGTGGTTAATAAAAGTTTCATGGACTTTCCTGCCCCAGGGTAGTTTCAAACTGTAACTCTCAGATCTCAGCCTCCTGAGTAGCTAGGATTACAGGCATGAGCCATAGGCACCCAGCTAGGATGTTTTGATTGAGAAGGTTTAACATCAATTTCTTATCAGGGCTGGCCCTGTCTGGAAAGCCATTTCTTCATTAGACACTGTTGGCTGGGCCCTGGCAACTTCCTTGTCCTTACTCACACTTTTAGGCTCTCTTGGTGAACCAAACTTCCTCCTCTGGTGGCTCCATTTCTTTCTAGATCGTTTTGCTATGTAGGACCAAAGCTTATCCTGTCTCTGCTGCCCATGTGCCGTCCACTGCCTGCAGGTGACTTTGCTCTTTCTGATGGCTAACAAGGTACCTCTCCTCCAGTGCAGCCAGTGGCGTATGCCCATACGTAGCCCTTTCTACTAGCAAAGCTACATTGTGTTCCATAGAATTTCTGAGCACCCTCCTGCCACTACAACCTTGAGAAAGGAGAAGCCTACTTTAAAACTAGACCTTGTTCACGTGCCAGCTCCACAGAGTTCCAAGTTGGGCCTTGGGCAGCTCCTTGCTTTCTCCAGCCCTTCCTGTCCCCATTCGCAAAATAAGGAAATATGCGTGCCTTCTTTACAGGGTCATTGGAAAGACCAAAGGCTTGGGAGTATCTAGCTGAGAGTTAGCCTTAGTTGCTTTTATGATCATTGTTCTTTTACGATGTCTGATGCAATTCCTGACACATAATAGACGATGAATTCGTTTGAATGCCTTCTCTTTTCCATTGGTGACCAGTGATTTTCATCCTAGCCCTCAGGAGGCTGAGGCAGCCCAGGCAACCAAGTGGGAGCTTGTCTAGTCTAAAACTTCCTGTTCCCTCCTGTTTCTGTTCCGCTTTTTGTCTACTCTCCCTTTCTCTGTTCTTTAGGTTCCTTCTTTTCCTATTAACCCAGGTTCTTCTGAGTAGCCACAGCAGAGGTGAGGCCTGCTGTGATGGCCTGGGCAATTCTGTGGTGTGGGACACTGGTCTTTACACTCCCTGCCAAGATGGAAGACATTGAAGGCCCTTTAAAGTACCCCGAGGTCCCTTCTTCCCCTCCAGTAGATAAAGCACCGCCAAGAACTCAAAATCTACCACTGGACCTTAGACCACGGAAAGATAAATCTTTAATTTGACCAGCAAGCAGAGTGCCATTACTGATTGTGGTGGTGGTGTTCTTTCTTTGAAAGATACATACAAGAGGAATGGGAGCATCTTAATTTTTATCAGTTCTCTTTTCTATCTTTCTCCAGTACATAATTCAAAATGTAGGTGACGCCTGTGACTCAGTTATCACCATTTAAAACAGAACCAATCTCCAGGGAGCTGTGTAGACCATAGCAAGGCGATTACCAAATTAGAGGAAAGTGAGTGGGGAGGAACACTTGAAAGCACTTCATCATAAAAGCAATTTCCAAACCAGGACAGCACTTAAAAGATCTTATTCAATATTTCCTTAACCTGAAGACTACACAAAAAGCTTAGTCAAGGAATCCACTGCTATGAAAAGTTAGAGCCAGATATACCTGGAAAGTGCAAGGTAAATTAATTAGGTTTAATTAGATAGCCGACAAAGAACACCACATGATATTTGGGCAGGAAGGTAAGTTTATTTTATTCCGAACTGCCTGCCCCCCCCACCCCCCCATCTCCCACCTCCCTACAACCCTCCCCACCGGGTGGAGACCACATGGTCACAGGGACTATGTAGTCCCCCAGTGCTAGGACTTATCTAAGCCAGGGACAGGAAGAGGTGTGGCCACACCGGATCCCGAAGTGACCTCGGGGCCTGGGTCCCTCCTATGGTCAGATGGGAGGCGTGACCAGGGGTAGGCTAGGATGTGACCTAGCAGGAAGGGGAGGTGACTGTTTCCAGGTGTGCCAGTTACCTAGGTAACACAGATACTGAGCAGAAACTTAGCCATGGGGTAGGGAGGTATCTGCACCAGGCCTGCTTGGCCCAGGTCAGAAAATGGTCAGTTAAAATGAAGCAAAAACTAAGACTCTCCTGCTGGGCTCCCCTGCTGTATGCACTGGTTGCTGTTTATGGGTTCTCTCCACAGACAGATACTGAGCACCTACTGTAAGCAGCCATGGTGACCTTGAATATAACAGTGAACCAGATGGGCACAGGTCTTTGCCCACATCAAGTTTAGGTTACTCTTTTGAAAAGTTGTGCCAAGCCATATCCAAGTCAGCAGCCCTTCCCAGTGCTAAGGATGGACCTGGACCAGTCACAGGCTAGATGGGCCTCTGCCACCGACCCTCTGGCTCCTGGAAAGCAGGCTCACCAGCGTTCAGACTTCCTAAGTAGCTAGTATTACAGGTATAAGCCACCAGCACACACTTTATTTCAAATGTTTTCCCATTGTAAGTGGCTGACCTAGGCATGTTGTTGTCTATCTGTAATCCCATCTACTCAAGAGGATTGAGGTTTAAGGCCAGCTCAGGCAAAACATTAGCAGGACCTCATCATAACAACAATAACAAAGAGCCAGTGTGGTAGAACACACCTGTCATCCCAGCTGTGACAGAAGTGTAAGTAGGAGGATCACAATCCAGGCCAAATAAAACCAAAACACTGGAGATCCTATCTAGAAACTCACTCAAGCAAAAAGTTTGTGGTACGGTTGAAATGGTAGAGGTAGAACAGCTGCCTAGCCAGTGTGAGGCCCTAAGCTCAAACTCCAGACCACCAAAAAAAGATTTAAAACATTTTTTAAACTTTCTTAATTTTTTTTGTCAGGGCCTGAACGCTGTCCCTGAGCTCTTCAGCTCAAGGCTAGCACTCTACCACTTGAGCCATAGCACCACTTCTGTTTTTTGGTGGTTAATTGGAGACAAGAGTCTCTCAGACTTTCCTGCCTGGTCTGGCTTTGAACCATGATCCTCAGATTTCGCCTCCTGAGTAGCTAGGATTACAGGCATGAGCCACCGGTGCCTAGCTAAAATTTTTTTTTTAATTTAAAACTTTAAAAAAAATTTTAAGTGGTAGAACCAGGCTGATAAAACTTAAGGTTAGTAGAAAGACTCCTTCAAACCTTCTTGGCACACGAGGTAGGCCTGATACGCATAGAGATACCTATAAAGGAGTGCATCAAACCTAAACTGCTTTAAGCATCTGGCCATTCTCCAGTTATCTGACTGATTTACAATGGTCCCTCACACTCAGAACAGCCAAGTGAACTTCAGTCTAGCTGGGCAGAACTGCATAGCGTGGTCCAGATTATAGCTTTCTAAGAGAGACAAGGTTGATTCAGTTATCCTTCCATAGAAAATGAGGAAGAAGTTGAAGTTACTTAAAATTGCTACATTTTATCTTTTAAGGATTTGATTTGGAAAGATCCAGAATGAGGGTTTTTTTTTTTAAATGAGGCAACCTAAAACATTTTTTTTAGATTGATTTTGGTCCTTTCCCTTTCCATTTTGGTTCCACATATATATAACAGGCTGGAATAAACTCTTGGCTTAGCTTTTAGGACTTTATAATCAGGAATCTTAAGGAAATAATTTATTCAATTCCCTGAAAATAAGTAAGTGCTCATTTTGAGCTTGCTGCATTCTGGTCCACATTAATAGTGTGGTACTTTACAGAGAAGGGTTTGAATGACCCTGATATTGAAATTATAAATAATTGTGTACTTTTGCTAAGTTGATAAACCAGAGTAGCATGTTTTAGAACTTTCCTTTGTATTTCAAGTTGGAGTGTTACATATTCCTTGTTTTTAAAGTAGGCTTAAGCACAATGGAACTTTTTCTTTTCTGGTACTGGGGTTTGAACTCAAGGCCTCACACTTGTTTAGGCAGGTACTCTACCACTTGAGCCATGCCATCAACCCTATTTGGAACTCAGATAGGGGTCTCTTTATTTGTGGACTATTTTTGTTTGGGGGCTTTTGTTTGTTTGCCAGGCAAGCCTGGACCACAATCCTAATATTTACATTTCCCACAAGCTGGATGGCAGGGGTCACCACCACACCCAGTTTTTTTTTTTTTTTCTCAGTGAGAATCTCACCATCTTTTTCTCTCCATCTCCACCTCCCTTGTGGTGAGGGCTACAGTTGTAGACCACTGCATGGAGCGCACCTCCCAGGCTAATGAGTTTATCTCTTTAGGATGGCCCACCCCCATCCCAGACTGCCCTTGTGAAATGTAAGGAAAGTATTAAAAGTGATTGCTCAAGCCAAGTGCTGGTGGCTCACGCCTGTAATGCTAGCTTCTCAGGAGGCTGAGATCTGAGGATCGCGGTTCAAAGCCAGCCCAGGCAGGAAAGTCCGTGAGACTCTGATCTCCAATTAATCACCAGAAAACCAGAAGTGGTGCTGTGGCTCAAGTGGTAGAGCGCTAGCCTTGAGCTGAAGAGCTGAGGGACAGCGCCCAGGCCCAGGGTTCAAGCTCCACAACAGACCAAAGGAAAAAAAAAAGTGATTGCTCAGGTGACAGACAGTAGCTTCTGGTTGCTAAATAGAACAAGAGTTTGTACTTTAGACCTACCTGATTGTTTAACAAACAACAACAACAAAACCCTGTTAAGGCCTACAGGGTACATAGGCTGATGACAGAGCTCACGCTCTGTGAGTTGAGAGGAGGTAGTAATTAAAATTTCAGCTAATACCCATAAAGTGTTTTCTATGTAGCGGAGCTGAGAGCTTGTGACACGAATTAATTTCTTGTGTCCTCCCAATCTGAAAATATACTGTAGTACAACCCCTGATTTCTAGATGCGGAAACTAAAATGCTCAGGTTAACTTGATCAGGGTCCCACAGGAAGGCTCTGGCCTCCACATTCCTTCTGCCATGATCCTTTTCTCCCTCCCATTGGAGGGCTAAGTCCTAGAGTTAGGAGAAGTACAAGATATTCTTATTCAACCACAGGAAGATGGTACAGAGATCAGAACCCTGCAGGCTGCCAGCCTGAGCCCTGCCATGACTAAGAGGCCTTGCTCCTCAGCCACATCTTGCTTCTCATTCCTCTTCCTGCTCTCTCTCCTCTCCATGAAAGCTGTTCTCTGCACTACTACCATGCAGATGTGGCCATTCCTCTCCTGCTAATTTCTGCCATCTTAATCTTACTCTAGGGCGTGGGGGGGTGGGGTGGAGACAGTGTTTTATCCCTTCTAGTCTCTGATCCTGAACTCTAGTTGCACCAAGATCACCTTTGGAATGTCATCCAAACACATACTGCCAGCCCCAGCCTAGACCTGCAGAGGAGACATCGTTTCTGGACATGGGTCCTAGGAAAAACCACATCACAACCAGCCGTGTGCTGTCGCCCTGGTCTGTCTTCCTGGGCTATAAGCACCATGAAGCCTCTGTGTTTGGCTCATCTCCCCTCTCTATCTTTGCACCTAGCTAAGTCCTGGCATTAGCCAGCACTGAACAAATACTTCAGATGTGTAACTACAGTGCAAGGTGAGCTTTTCTCTCAAGGGACCATTTAGGTGGATTGCTTACACTAGCTTTCCCTCAAGCCAGGGGTCACAGTAGAACTACAGCCACTTCTTCTCCGGACAGCCATTTCCTAGCTTTCCCTGCAGGGGAAGGGGTGGACTTTGTGCCTTATTTTGTGGGAAAGGAGTGAGTGCCATGGTGATCTTGAAGTTTTAAGCAGGCTGGTAAACATCTGGATCACAGATCTACATTACTGATAAACAGACCTAATAGCTCTCCTACCCCAGGAATCAGGGTGTCCACTGAGATTTACAGTGGAGGAGAAAAAAAGTGGCCTAGCGAACACAGGGGGAAGTGAAATCCAAGTTCTTTTTTTTTTTTTGGTCTGGTCGTGGGGCCTGAACTCTGGGGCTAGGTGCTGTTCCTCAGCTCTTCAGCTCAAGGCTAGCGCTCTACCACTTGAGCCACAGCGCCACTTCCGGCTTTTTCTGCTTATGTGGTGCTGAGGAATCGAACCACGGCCTCATGCATGCAAGGCAAGCACTTTACCACTGAACCACCTTCCCAGCCCGTGAAATCCAAGTTCTTTGGCCTGGCCAGCCACCGCTCTGCCCCCGCATCCTGTTATGAACCAAGCCCTCAGCAAGTTTGCTAAGTTAATGGAAAGGAGTTGGGTTTCTTGCTCTCAAGTCTTCCCAAGGCCAGCTACTAGTAACAGTGTTCTGATAAGTTGTTGCCATCTTTGCAGCTCCCAGACCCCACATCCTGAGGCCTGCTGCTATGCACAGATTGCTCTGATCTCATTTTCCACACAAGCAGAGGCAGAGGCTCCCCAAGGGACAGAAACTGACACCATTGTTTGTCCTCTGAGCTCCATTGTCTTAGTGGATAGATTGATTTTATTTTATTTTGTCATGGGTCTTGAACTCTAGGCCTGGGCACTGTCCCTCAGCTCTTCAGCTCAAAGCTAGTGCTCTACCACTGGAGCCACAGCGCCACTTTGGGTTTTCTGGTTAATTGGAGATAAGAGTCTTACAGACTTTCCTGCCCAGGTTGGCTTTGAACCTTGATCCTCAGAACTCGACCTCCTGAGTAGCTAGGATTACAGGCGTGAGCCACCAGTGCCCAGTAGGTTTTTCTCTTACTGGCTGAGTCTTGAAGCAGTGATGTTGAGAGTGTTTTTTGTTTTAACTTCTGAAGCATCCATTAAACAGAGGGAAGACAAGCTCCCATTTAGGGAGCTCCCACAATGAGCCAAGGGTATTCACATATTCTCATTTATGCCACATGGCAGTCCCCGGCCATCTCCTGTCTCACAGAGGAACCTCGGGCCAGAACCTACATGCCTTCCTGAGGTGCTCAGAGGGATGGAGGTGGGATTTGAACACAAGTCCTTTAACAGCACAAAGCATTCCATGAGTGTAACTCCATTACATATGAGCTGCTGAGAGCAGAGACATGGACCTTGACTATGAAGCTGTCACTGCTGCTTGTTCATTCGTTCATTCGTCCTCCCTCCCTTTCTTCCTTCCATCCTTCCTTCTTCCTTTTTTCTTTCCCTTTCTTTCTTTCCCCTCCTTTCTTCCTTTCTTTTTTTCTTTCTTTCACTTTTTTTTCTTTCTTTCCCTTCCTTCCCTCTTCTTTTTTTCTTTCTTTCTTTTTCTTGCTTTTCTCTTTCCTGCTTGCTTGCTTGCTTTGTTTTGGTGCCCAGCCTGAGGTTTGAACTCAGAGCCTGAGTGTTGTCCCTGAGCTTTTTTGCTCATTGCTCTGCCAGTGGAACCACTTCCATCTTTTTTTAATGTCATGATGATGATGATGTAATTGTGCAAAAGGATTACAGTTCCATAAGTCACCCCCATGAAACATGTTTCCACTTCCTGGCATTCATTCTGATAATCAGCTTTTTCCTGGTTAATTGGCGATAAGAATCTCACAGATTTTGCTGCCTCAGCTGGCTTCTAACCAAGGATCCTCAGTTCTCAGTCTCAGAGTAGGAAGGATTACAGGCATGAGCCTGTAATCAGATAGCTTGTTGCTATCTGAAGCTTCCTAAAAGAAGCAAGGAATAGCTGTCCTCTGTTGGGTGTAGGCACAATGTCTTGCACGCTACATGGATCACTCTCATTTATTCCTCATGACAGCTCCTTGGCAAGGTACAGACTGGTAGAGGGACTTGCCAGTGTGGCAGTGCCAAGACTCACCTAGGTTTCTACTGGTCTGCTTCCTCATGCTCATATAACCCTGTCTCCTAACATGCGCTCTTATGAAAGTTGTCTGCAGGTGTTTGATTCAGAGAACATGCTGCCTGGCTACGTAGAGATTGGAGCACACACAGTGAAGGCTGCATGATTCTGTTCAAATAAAGATTATGCCATGTGCTCTTTCCCCAGATCGGCCATGGATCTGGAATATTCCTTACGTCAAAGCACCAGACACACACGGGAACATGTGGGTACCCTCCTGATGTCCAGCGCTGTGAGGTCAGGCGATGCTGAGCCCCTCGCCCCGGGCATAGAAGAACATCCAGAACACTGCACATTGTTCTCACTGGATCTTCACCTCCCCTAAAAGTCCTATTTGTACCCACAAAACTGTTTGCAAAAGGTCACTCAGGAACAGAGATGTCGGTTGTGCTTTTAATGGCTCATTCTCAACATTCTCACTGAAAATAAGTGTTATTTTCTTAATTTCTTTTTCTCTGCTTTGGAGAATAAGCTATTAAACTGCATTGAGTTAAGAAATGTGTGCGGATGTGACATGAAACCATCCTCAGGGTGGTGAAGATGCCATAATGGCTGTTCTGGACTGGAGCTTGACCTTGACCTTGTGCTTGGGCCTCCACTGGTCTCTATGTAGCCATTGACAGAACGTTTCAGAGAAAGAATGTGATCCTTGGTTCCTTCCACCTTGCAGCTTCCTGAGTGTGTCTCCTAGGGGTTTTGGGACGTTTCTGTGGATGTTCATATCCCTGGATGAGCTGCTTCCATCTCCTGAAGCTCAGCTAGCTTTCAGCCTCAGCTTCTCAAAGTTCTCATCCCTGTCAAGCACCCTGCCCTGCTTCCTGCTTCCTGTTTATGAATGGTCCCATCCGACCCCACCCCTGCCATTTTCCCAGCCCTTCCCCACACTGATAGATGCCTCCTTCCAGCCCCAGAAATTTCCAGAGAAAACAGAAGCACATACAAGAATCATACAAGAAGTACATAAGCATTTTACTTGGAATAAATCCTAAAAGGTGACTTGATTTTGTAAGAAACTTAAGGCTTAGGCTTCCTGGCCCCCAGTGAATGTACCAGGACTAAGAAGTCATGGAGGAAGCTAGAGCATTCTGCACTGCCTATAGCAGCCCTCAGGCTGAGCAGCTGTCCACTGCTCAGCCAGGTGACCACAGGGATTGTAGCAAAGAAACAGAATCCATGGAGGAGGGCAGGGGACTGCATGGTGGCAGTGGCAGCTTCCAGGCGCTGTGTGGCCGGAGCTGTCAGTGTCTCTGCACCTCTGCCTTGTGGCTGCTGGACAGAGTAGTGGTACACACTAGCAAGGGTAACGCGAGCCACTTACACATCCAATGTGCATGCATGCTGGGCACACATACGAGCTGCCACTGGTGCTCAGTGCTGCTGGAGCTCACTCACCAGGGGTCCTCCTGATTTTGCTGCTCCTTTACACAGATCAATCCCCCCTGCCACACTCCTGTACCCAGCAAAACCATGCAGGTCCGCCCGGGCAGACGCTCTGGAAACAAGGCTGGATGAAGAACACATGAAGGCTGTTACAGGGGCTGAGACCCAGGAATGACACCAAGGCTGGAGCAAATGTCTCCTGAAATAGGACATCCCTTCTGTCCTGAGCCCCCATCTCCTCCCTCTCGGGCCTCATACAAACACTATCCAGTGTCTTTTCCATGCCTTCTGATAACAAACCACAGAAAAGCTTCAACCTCTTGCTTCTTTGTAGACTGTCAACAAAGACTGATCTGCGTGTGTATTTCTACATGTGGACAAAAGGAATTCCTGTCCTTTTTTCCATTAAAAGGGGGGCTGCTGTGTTCTTTGGCAGTGCCCCCTGCCATCCTGTTATGGAGGTGGATGTGGGAACCTCAAGTCTAAACGAGTTTTTTCACACCAGATAATGAGTTGCCACCAGACCTGCTGAATGATTGACAGCTGCAGAGACCGGAGGAATGCTGAAGCAGGAAGACTTCATGTCTCCCCATTCCTTACGGAGCCCCACAGGGAGAGGAAAATGGCCTGACACCTGGGGTGAGGGAGGAAGATCAACTTCTAACTTACTTATTGAACATATTCCTGAGGAATCTGTATGTTAGTTTTGTTGATATAAGTCAACCTTGAAGTTCACTGGATTGGGAGGCTGAATATCTCCATATTTTCCTGAGTTCTACCTATAGTTCAGTTCCAGTGTTAAAGTGTTTTATACTTAATCCTCACATTTACGTTCTCTTGTTTGCTTGCTTCCTTCCTTTTTTCCTTCCTTCCTTCTCTCCTTTTTTGTGCTAGTCCTGGGGCTTCAAGTCAGGGACTGGGCCCTGTCCCTAAGCTATTTTGCTCAAGTGGTGCTCTACCACTTGAGCCACAGCTCTACTATGGCTTTCCCTGCCCTCACTGGCTTTGAACCTTGATCCTCAGATCTCAGCCTCCTGAGTAGCCACCAGCTCCTGGCTTACCCAGTACTAGTTTTATTTTATTTATTTTTTTTTGTTGGTCATGGGGGCTGAACTCTGGGCCTGGCGCTGTCCCTCAGCTCAAGGTAGTGCCCTACCACTTGAGCCACAGCACCACTTCCAGCTTTTTTCTGCTTATGTGGTGCTGAGGAATCGAACCCAGGACCTCATGCATGCGAGGCAAGCACTCTACCACTGAGCCAACTTCCCAGCCTGCAGTACTACTCTTAACACAGTAACCATTATTAGCCCCATTTTACAGATGAAAAAACTAAGGATCGGGGACTGGGACAAAAGGATATCCCATATGAAGAGACACCTGTTCAGAAGCACCCTCTCCTGCACCAGGCCACACCACACAGACCCCGCTACCTTTTCCGGGGAACTTTGGTATAAGTTAGATGTTTTTCCTTTTATAGAAATTATTAATGTTATGTGACTACCAGTTTATGCATCAAACTTGGTATCTTTAAAATAAGAACCTTGAAGGGCTGTAAATGTGGCTGAAGTTGGTAGAGTACCTACTTTACCAAGCATGAGGTCCTAAGTTCAAATCCCAGGACTGAAAAAAAAAATTGGATTTGACTGATAAGTCTTTTTTTCCCATGTGAAATTAAAAGTTGATTTTTCTCAGGAAACTCATATTGAAACTTGACCAGTTGTAGGACTGTTTGAATGACCTAGATGTAACAAATCTTGAGGCCTTTTTGTTCTGGTTATGAAAGAATTGCAACTGTAACCCCTTCTTTAAGTTCACGAAAGAACTTTGCATTTTAAGAGTGCCTCAAAATGAAGTAGGCGTTCTTTATTTACATTCCTAAAATGCAGCAATTATATTGATGGATTAATGATATTAATCGTACATGACAAAGTGCAGCAAAAGCCAGCACAGGAACACAATGGTTGGCAGGAATAAAACTAGCTTGATTCTAAGTGTAGGGGTAAATCTAAAATTCAATCAATTATGTGCTAACTACATGTTGTGCATAGGTCAGATCCTAGGATGATAAAACCTTTAGAAATTCTCCAGGTTTTAATAGGCTGGTTATTTCAAGCTACTATTCATGGCATAAGAACTACAAACTGCCATTTCTTACTATATTCCCATCAACAAGTAAGTCATGTTTTAGGAAACCAGTGCTTGTATAAGAAGACTACAGGACATGACCTGCCAAGACCTGTTCTGTTGGTTATGTTCAGCCAATCAGGATACTGTGATCCATCCCCATTCACAAGTTGACCGGGGCGGGGAGGAAACCTAGTCAGATTTATTTGTCCAAAAATCACCCTGCTGGCAAGGGCAGGGGTGGGATTTGAACCTAGGGAGTGTAGATTCAGGGCTATGTTCCACATCTGGGCAGCAAACAGATATTCCTGACTCCAGCCAAGAAGCAGATTTGATGGACTGAAATTTGTGTGTTCCTCCATTGTCATGGTGAATCCTGGTCAGCATGACAACTAAGGAACGGTATGTAAAAAATCACCAAACATCACATTTGTCTGCAAGACTGAATTGCTGAATTATTCAGATCAAACCTCACTGCCACACTCCCTTTGAGCTAAATGTAGAGGAGAGCAAAGAATTGCATGATAGAATGTTTTGTTAAATTCCCAGACTAACCTACCAGGACTTAAGTCCAGGGCAGAGAGAAACAAGGCTAGAGATGAGGAAGACTGGGGCACTGTAAAAGCAGACACTTCATAAAATGAGGGGTGAGCAGATGGATCCAAAGCTTTACAAATCTCAGTACAATCAATTCCATCCCAAAGCAGAGTCTTAATTAGTTTCTGCATGTTGACCTTTAGTTCTGTGAGAAGCTCCAGTGAATGAGTTTGACCCACATGGGTGGTTCATGTAGCCAAATGTCTCCATTCACTGTGTCTTGTTCCTTTGTAATAAGGTTTTCAAAGAGCCCCAAGGCAATTTATTAAGCAGAAGGCACCTGGATCAATCTCCCTTTTTTTTGTTGTTCTTAGTATTGGGGCTTGAATTTAGGGCTTAAATTTGGGGCCTGGGCACTGTCCCTCAGCTCTTCAGCTCAAAGGGAGTGCTCTACCACTTGAGCCACAGCACCACTTCCAGTTTTCTGGTGGTTAATTGGAGATAAGAGTCTCACAGACTTTCCTGCCCAGGCTGGCTTTGAACTGCAATCCTCAGATCTCAACCTCCTCAGTAGCTAGGATTATAGGCGTGAGCCACCTCTACCCTGCTCAATCTTTCTTCTTTAATGCACAAATAAAGACAAGTTTAGAGAAGAAAGGCAAGAGAAAGATTGCACCCCTAAAGCATTTATTACAGGCCAATTTGATCATATTTTCATAAATCATCGTCATACTGTGAGGCCCATAGTCTTCAGCTTATGAGAGGGAAAAACATGTTTCCAGATCATAAACAAGAGTTGTGTCTGGTCTGTAGTGCTGGGTCTGTTCTGGCTAAGTCAGCACACATTCTTTCTGACCCCAAGGACCCGGCTGCTGCTGCTGTTTGCCTTGGCTGGCTGTTTATTCATAGGTTCTTTAGACTATTGTGAGCTGACTTGGTTTGATTGAGTTTACTATAATTTAGAGACCACTAATTTTTCATTCAATCATATTTTATCAATATTTTCATGAGAGCTGGAATGTAATCCTGGGTACTCAGGGTTTTCTTATCCACCTACCTCTGTCTCCTATGTGTCTGGGATTATATATGGCTTATTAATTGAGATGAGGGCCTAACTTTTTGTCTGACCTGGCCTCAAACTTGATCTACCCTAATTTTAAGCGATCTAAATACTGTGAGATTGGCTTAATGAACCCTGTGCAGATGCCAGAAATAACTTCATTCATAGTTTTCTCCTCAATCAATGGGAACCTTAACTCTGATCTCACACCATATAGAAACAAACTTAAAATGGATACTAATAGACACAACAATAAATAGCTTAATATATGAAGAACATTAAATATGAAAGACTGACATAGGGCCTTTGCCATAGTGAAAAACTCATGTCAGAAAGCAGACTTAGGATCAGGTGCCGTTGGTAATCCTAGCTACTCAGGAGGCTGAGATTTGAGGATCA